ACTGTGTCTTCTGGTCTGATAGATTGATCCAATGACGAGTTTTGGAGTTCTTCCAAGTCTATTTGCACTTGTCTATTAAATTCCTCTAGCGATTCTGTGTTCCCTAAAGAGATGTCCTGTCCCATGAGATCCATAGAGATGTCAATCACTGATTCTGGGCTCGTTGGTCTAATTGTGCTGCCAGATTTGTCCTGATTGGCGTCAGGGGTAACTGCATGTTGATAATCGTCAACTTGCATCATGTCACCTGCTTCTTGTTGATCGTGCGGCGTGCTGTGGTTATTAGGCACATTTGTGTGCATAACCTGCGCAGTTGGTATTACTGATATACCTTGTTGATCATTTGTAGGAGGTAAACTGTTTGTGGTTTTTTGGGCTTGAGAATTTTCAGGTGTAGTAGAAAAACTATTTGCAGTACTGTCTGGCGTTGGTAGAAGGTTTTCCTCCTGTACTGGAGTATTTGGTGGTGGATGAATAAAGGAATCTGATGCCTTTTCCAATTGAAATGTGCTGTTCTCCTTGTTAATAATGTTAACTTGGTTCCATGATAGGTGCCAGTTATAATTGAGATTGTTGCTAATAACTTTTTGGGCTATTTGTTCTCTATCATACTGACTGAGTTTGTTGCTGTCCTGATATTTGAAAAACTCCTCCAATTGGGAGCTGTACTTCTTCCTTGGTTTGCTGGCTGTTACTATAGTGAATGCTTGGTGGGTTGCTCTGGTGGTTTTAGAGGTATTGAACTCGATATAAATTGTTGGGATGTCATCCTGGGCTTGTGAAAGACTTTCCTGAACCGGAATAATCCAGTGTTTGGGGAAGCTAATGAGTGGTGGAATGGATATGTTTTTCCCTGGAAGGGAGACTAAAATGGTGCGTGTATTTATTTCCATGTAGACTACAGCAAACAAGAGTTTGCTTGGGTTGATGAGGACCACGTCCAAGAGAGCATGGACTGGGTCAGGAGGTTTTACCTTGGGGGAGGAGCCCCCAAGGACGCTTGACTTGTTTTTTCTCAAAATTTTTCCTGATTGCCTAAAAAGGAAATTTTTAAGGAATCTGATGCATTTGAGAAAGAGTTTTTAACTTTATTAAAAATTTTATTTAAAAAATTAAAATTTTTGCTTATAATTAAATTTCAAATTTTTATTAAATAAATAAAAAGCAACTTTTTAGTTAAAAAATTTTAAATGTTATAAAAAAAATACACTATAATTTAAGGGATAGACATATAATTTTATTAATATGTAATTTTGTTAATATATAAAAATTGTTAACATGATGTTGCTTAATGATACAAAGTTGCTTTTTAATATATTTTTACTTAATGATGTATTGTTTCTTGTTGATATGTTATTGCTTATTAATGTGTAATAGTTGTTTTGATATTTACTTGAGTAGGTAATTTTTGCATTATTCAGATCTGAAGAGAGTAAGCTAATTCTAATTTTTTAAGATTTTAATATGTAGAATAATGATTTTTTAACTCTATACAGTTGATAGAAAGTTTTGACATTCTTTTAGCTCAAGAAAGATAGTAAAATTATTTGATTTATCAAATGGAATCTGATCTTTCTTGAGTTATTACAGTATCTAAAGAGATGTTTAATCTGACACATAACTGACTGTAGTAGTGATAGAGAATATTGGCTTCCTAAGACCTTACTATAAATCAAAAAGTGTACTTTCTTATTTCCCCTTTTGAGGAATAAAATTACTTAAAGGTCTTTGATAAAAAGTATAAGTATATAAAATGTGAAGTAGAAGATATTAGTTATTTGCTCTCAATATTTATCTGATATTATTTTCTTGTATATTTCTTGAATAATTATATGAATAAAGTTTTTGTTTTTAATTTTTTTTGAGATTTCCTAAAAAGAAATTAGACATAAAGTGGAAAAAATAATATTGATTGTTAAAAATTTTTATAAGAAAAAAATTTGTTTATTTAATAAAAAATGTGTATTGGTAAGAAATAAAAATAAAAGAAATTTCAAGAAAAGTTTATAAATAAGTAACTGCTACAGGCCTTTCCTCATGCAATTCAAGAAAAAAGCAAGGTCTCCAAACTTGCTTTTTCTTGGCCAGAGGTTTTATTCTGATACACTAATGTGCTTCTTCAATTTCCTTGAAGTTCTTGTAGTAAAGATAAAAAAAGTGTAAAGGACTTTTGATATTAAAAGACAAAAAAAATATTTGTTTCTTTAATTTTGAAAAAAATTACTATACTGCACAAAATTTTCTATAAACAAGACTTGAATTTTAATAAAATTTATAATGTAGTGTTAAGGATAAAGAGTAATGCTGTGCGTGATCTTCGCGGGACGTATTTGACGAGTTTGCATTGTTTGTGAGAAGCAAATAGACGTTTAATTATAAGAAGAGAATATTGCGAAGAAATAAGGTAACTTAATTTAAGGTGCATTCATTGATGTTTGGTTTTTAATTTATTTTTAGTTTTAGTGTTGTAGCAGACTACACAAAAATTGAAGCTAACTGATTCGAAGTTTAACTAGAACATATACATACATTACTACAAAACAACTTTTCAAGTAACACAAAATTGTATTTCTATAATAAATCATCATTTATTGTCAAGGTGTCAATTTTTTAAAAAACAAGTTATTTAGTTTCAGTTGAATCTGAAAGAATATAAATGCGATATATACAACCCTATCCTTCTATTAATTTATTTACGAGAATAATACTTTAAGATATTAATCATTTAAAAAAAAAATTTCAGAAGAACGTCTATTTGATTACTATTGTTTTTTTTAAAAAAAGTTAAATGCAAGAAATCTATCGGTATGGTTATATCTTATTAATGCAAAACCTATCTGCAAAGATATAAAAATCTATGCTTTACGAATATATAGGAAAAATTAATAAAGCTTTGATTACTGGTTCTATAATTTGCGTAGGCAAATACTATATAATACATACTTTTAACGAAAGTCTTAATTATTTTCCATCTTGCATGCATAAATACGAATTATATGTTGGTAACTATTAAAATCGCTTAATTCCTTACACATTGAATTTACCATTTCATAATACTCTTCAGATGTCACATCTAAAATTGGCATCAGAGTGGATATTAAGTTGCCAAACAAAATCTTGATATTGTCGATGGCCTGTGATTTGTAAATAAGTAATATGATATTATGATCAGAATAACATGAAATAAAAGCTTGTTACCGCTCTTCCTAGCTTTCCAGTTTCAGGGGAGAAAAAAGATTCATTTTTCACTTCGTGGATATCATTGAATTGACCGTTCTGTTCAACGAACGATCGTAACTTACAGAGTACATTGAAATCAATATCTTTGTGTTCACTGAAATGTTCAACTAAAATATTTGTGTTAATGTTTTCATTTGATAATATTTATGAAATATCAAACTTACAGGCGCTGCGAATTTTAGCAGATACAGGGCCTAACTCATAGGGAGGACCTATTTCCGATAACTAGAAAGATAATCGTAATCAATAATACTATAAAATAGTTGCTTTAAACGTGAACATAATTAATACCTCTAAGTAACCACCAGGCTTTAGAACTCTGGTTAATTCACTAATATGATCAGGCCAAAAATTTCGGGGAATTGAAATAACCATTAGACGCTGAAACACATAATCGAATGTGTTATCTTCGAATGGCAATCCATTCAAAACGTCCGTATTAATAAAGGAGACATTCCTAGGCTTAATACTATAAGGTTGAACAGGGGAAATATCCACTCCGATGAATTCCGCCTTTGGGTAATTTGTTGCCATATCAAACGCCCAAGAACCTGTACCGCAACTTCATCAAAATAAAGTTTTAATAACTCGGTACTTTCCACGGGAAAAGAAATCATACTATGAATATTATAATAATGATATACCCAACATCAAGCACTTTTGAGCCATCTCTATTTAAAACATGTTCCACAGGAGCAGAAAAATTACTCTGAAAAATGTGTCGAATTACGAAATGCTGTAAATGTAATCTGTCTAATTCATCATAATCGTTTGGAAGGGGGTATTTTAAACCCTCAATGTTATTATATCTTCTCCCATCGATATACTTAAAGTTTGTCTCTGATGTCGTTAGCTCTGCCACGACCATGCCGTTATTTTTTTTTTTCTGGAGAATATTGCCCATACTGACCTTGCGATAAAAAGAAGTACCATGTGGACTTTCTTACAGTATATGTATCTTAGTTATAGATCGGCAACTTACATTATTGATACAATTGGTGATCGTCAAGACTCGGTTTGCTTTCTATGGAATTTTCCTCCAGCAAAAAAAAAAACTTGTAAGCACGAATTATTATCTAAACTACGCAACAGTATACAGTATGCGGTATTGTATTTATTGTTTATCAGTTTGATGATTATAAAACTTTACTAGTGCAAAGGTTTCTTACAAGCATCCAAAATTAAAGGTTTTGGGATCATGTACGCTAAAAACTGCAAAATATATTTTCATAAAAAACGGACTATCTGTTATAAGAAGAATATACTGTATGATTTCAAATTTGTCAAAACAATAATATTTTTTACTATATTTATAACTTTGTTATTTTAACGCATAATCTAAATACCTTTTGTCATTACCGGAATTTAAAAGAATGATGAAAATCATAAATATTTAAGCAACTTTAGATATACTGTATCGGTGCTACTATCTTAAGAATGGATCATTAATTTTCGAGATCTTTCACAGGTTCTTCGATTAGACCAATGTTTTCACAGAAACACCGTGCATTGTGTAAATCTGATATTACAGCAAGTTCCGAAGTTAATGCATGAATATCAAACCTTTATGGTAAGCCGTCAATTGTTGACCTGTGCGTAATCCCCAATTATAGAAATTGTTTGCCGGTCAAACGATTAACTACTGTAATCCGTTTTTCTGAATTAATGTACAGTAGTTATAGTAATCAATTAATGCTTTTATAATATTTTGCAACTTTTTTTTGTTTCCCAAGAATGCATTAAATGTAATTTATACAAAATTTTTGTTTTAAACCAAAATTTCAATCCTTTAGCACATTTTATTTTAAAATCTGAGATTTTTGTTTTATTAACGATAGATTAATTTGATTCGTATATTATTTATTTGTACGCTTTGAAATAAAAAAAGTCAAAAGTTATATTAAAATTGTACAAAAATTTTTTAAAACTTAAATAAATAAATATATTGATTGGAAATTATATATTACACTTTAAAAAAAATAACGAATAAGTTAAAAATTATTATTTCAAACTAATATAAAATTCTCAATATATTTAAATATTTAAATATTATTATTTTTCTCTAATAAAAAACTTTTTTACTTTTACCATTTATAATTTAATTATTATTTTTTAAAAATTTATAAATAGTTATTTAAATTATTAAAATGTTTTTATATAATAATAAACTTAAAATTATAAAATTTCTATAAGTTATAATTACAAATATAAAATAAGTGGAAAGTATAAATCTTCTCAATTCAACTTATTTATCAATAATCCAAAGTCTATAAATATAATTTATAAAATAATATATTGTTTTTTTAATAGTAAAACAGGCAGTAAATATAAATCTTTTATTATATATATGTATATAATATATACAGTACACAAATATAATATACAAAATATATTAAACATTATCAGTAATGTTAGACTACAGCTTAATACTAATTATTACTACTGTTTTATCTCAGTATCCAGAATTTCCAATGTTTATAATATTAGTCTTCATGATATAAAAAGCAAATTTATAAAAAATAAAAAAATTATAGCTAGTTTAAATTATTTAAATCTATTTTACATTCAGTTTTTATAATAAAAAAATCTTGATTATAAAGATCAATTCAAATGTTTTTGTTATTTTATTATCTAAATCTCAAATTATATTTTATATCAAATAAAAAACTTATACATGATATAATTTTTTTTACTATCTACAACTAATAAACTATTTAAGCTCTATATCAGATTGAAATAGCCTAGGCTGGAATTTTAATTATCAAGAAATTATATTAATTATAATTAATATAAAACAAAATACATTCTAATTTTGATAAATTGATAAAATAAACTAGTTATAATTCTTTTTATTAATATTATATAAAAGGTAAACTATAGTAAAATAAATATCAATCTTGTTTTTAAATTTAAAAATAATTAAAAAACAAAATTTTAAAAAGACTATAATTTTAAATACATGAAAAATACAGTATATCTTTTTTTTTAATAAAAATAATTTTATTTTAAATAAAACTAAATTATTATAAATAATAGATTTGTTATAATTATTCTTTAAATAAATATTATTTTTATTAGTTTGATTTTTTGGAAAGAGGTTTTCCTCAACAGGTAAACATCATTCCTGTATTTGTTATTGTATACTAAATATATATACATTAAGAAAAAAACAACATTTCTTGAGTATATATTCATACAACAAGTTAAATACTAGCTTGTCTACTTGATAACTATTTAACTAATATTGTAAAAAATTTTAAAAACAATATTAAAATATCAAATAGCAGAATAGCAGCTATGCCTACCTACTTAACAAAATTTTGCAAAATTTTTTAATTTTTTAAATATAAGATAAATTAAAAAAAAATAATAACTGTAATTAAAACTAAAACTAAATCAAATAAACTATAAAATCTATAAGTAAAAATTCAATTATTTTCCTAAGAAAGTCTCCAAACAGACACGTGGTCCTATCTCTTTAACTCTTTGGTTATTATATATAAAAAAGTACATGTGATCTTTTTTGTTGTTATAGTTGTTGTTATTGTTATTGTTGAATGAAAAACTGGTTTGAACAGATTCAGTTTTTTCTTTGTTGTTTTGATAAAATCTCATTGGATAATTGTTTTACTAAAACCTATCAAATTCTGACAATTTGGTTATATGATCGTTGTAATTTTGTGATTGAATCATGAAGATTCAATCGCGATTCAATGGTTTTTACTATGTCACAACAAAATCTTAGCTATTTAGTAGTAATTAAATCATTGTTTCAATAATGACATCGTCACTAACTCTTTTTAAAAAAATAGTGAACAAATCGTGACTATATTGCAACAACTTTTAGTTGCAAAATAGTGATGATATCATCACTATAATTATTAATAAAATATTATCATGGCGATACGATTTCGAGGTAACTTTAATTAAATTATAATCGAATCATTACAAAATAGTGACAATTCATTAATCAAGTGGTAAAAAAATAGTGACGATATAGTGACCATTTATTTATTATAAAGTTACAACCATACAAAAATTAAATATAAAAGCAGATAGTTTTTTTCAAAAATTTTTCAAAAATTAATACAAAAAAAAAATCATCTCTGTGATCTTTTACTCAATAATCCTCCTAACAATCTGGTTAACAATCTTTTGAGAAGCCACCATCCAACCAATCTGTTATTTAACAGCTATCCAATCAACCTGCCATTTAACAACTATCCAATCAACCTTTTGTTTAACAGCTATCCAGTCAACCTGTTGTTTAACAGCCATCCGGTTAACCTGCCATTCAACAGCCATCTGGTTTAAAGATAGGTCCCAAATTAAAGGTGAGAACAAAATTCAAATGTCTCTTACTATTAAAAAAGTTTTTTTTAAAAATATAAGATCAAAAAAAAACTATCTACAAAGGTTTTTTGCAATTTAGGCTACTTGATTCAAGTGTTTTTTGAATTATGTCCCTATTAAAGTAATGAATAAATAATAAGAGACATAATTGATCTGCGAAATTTTATATGCTAAATAGTTTAGGGACCCATTCTTAATCCGGTTAACCTTCCGTTCAACAACCATTCGGTTAATCTTCCATTTAACATTCTGTTCAACAGTCTTCCAGTCAACCCTCTGTTCAGCAGCTTTATGTTCAATCTTCCATTCAACAGCCTTACATTCAACCTTCCGTTCAGCAGCTTTATGTTCAATCTTTCATTCAATAGCCTTACATTCAACCTTCCGTTTAGCAGCCTTACGTTTAACCTTCCATTCAGCAACCTTACATTCAACCTTCCATTCAGCAGTCCTCCAGTCAATATTCTGTTCAGCAGCTATTTTTTTTTATCCAACAACCCTCTGTACAATCATCAGTAATTCCAATGGTTCATTTATCATTCTATCTGTCCTATTTATTACAGATTCAACCAATAATGTATTCCTTATCTTCAGATGAAAATACTTTACCAAGTAAGCAATTTTTTTTTGTATTTCTTTATTGATAATTCCTTAACCATTTATATGTCTAATTATTCTTATAGATCTTAGTATAGTGTTGAACAATC